GCGTTCCCTCTAAGCTGCACAACAACCAATCAGATGCCGCACACTTCATTATTCCAGCCACGCACGTCCTCAATAATGGTGAGGAGCCTCAACGCGTTTATAGCCTTAATGACCCTGGCAGTCGATAGGCCTAAAGCCCAAATAACCAACTGGTAGCATTGCAAAGTGGCCTAATGATCCAATATGGTTGATGGTCTAAAAAATAGCCCCCACCCCTACACCAAAAAAAAAAAACTGGTAGCGCACATCCACACATTGTCTTGATACTGGTGCACATGAAAAAATTCATTCCGCACATGGATTGAAAAAATTAGAGGGAACGTTGAACATGACCCCAATGACCCGGCTCTAAACAAATGCTAGATTGATAATAACAAAAGAAATAAAACACGCACACAATGACTAGAATACAATTTAACTGTACATAAAAAGAGCTCTTGGTTTTGATGAAAATATTTATAACCAGCATTAAGTTTCTAAAATATCAGTGACTACATGCAGAAACTAGATAAATCAATATTTCCCACTCTTCATCTATGCTAGTCTAAACAATCCAGTAAAATTATCACATCATAATCAATCTATATAAAGACTCCACCACATTATTCAGCATCATTTTAAAATTCCTTTAGACTTTTAGTACTTCGTTTACAAGGGCACATGCAAGTGTTGTATCGATACTTATATTAGCCAAATAGAATCAGCAGAGATCATTTATCAACTCGGCTCCTCTCACCAAACTCTCTTGAAGTTGAGCTAAAATTCGTAACTGGCTGGTATCAGACAAGATTTCATGTTGGGGGATCAGCGTGTCTCCTGCCAAGTTTCCTGTCAAGATTTCTGACTCCTTCTTGTTTCTGAGCCGAACTTCTTCTGGCAGTTCTTCCACATCTGGACCTTCTTTATTTTCTTTCAGATGTTGAAGGTTCATCCAGTTGGGTAGAGACCTGGAACACAAGACAGAAAGTAATAAATATGTAACTTGGAAACGTCGAGCTTACAATAGGTAAAAAAAAACTAACTTACATTTCGTTTCTGGTACCTTCTGAAAGGTTTTGACTCGTACTACGAGGCTATTGTTTTCACATTTATATTTACTAGCTAAAGACTGACCTCAGGAATCGGCTAATGTCTTCATCTTTAGCCCAGGTTGCACTGATAATTCTTTTGTCTTCAGATTCTGGTTGAACAATCCCTGGTAAAAATTTTAAGGCTTAATGTCATGACATAGCACGATATCTGCAGCAATGACATGAGGCTGTCCTCCTCCCCTATCTACCATTAAAATAGGTGTCAAAGTTTTTATATCATAATTTACTGCCAAAATTATGTAAAAGAAAAAAAAGTTTAATAGATTTTCAAATAAAGAAAATATTAAAATATAAAATGTACTTCTTGCTTCATCCCAAAGAAATTTAATCTATCCTTTTCAAATATCACGTAAAGGTTTTATTACTTGTGAAAGTAAGTACAAAAGAAATTAAGTAAACATTTTCCACAGTGATAATACTAATAAGTTAGGAATTATTATTTTAATTTCAGATTTTTCAAGAGTTTTACTTAATTTTGATTATGATCTTCCGCAACGAAAACTTGTCAAGTAATTATTATTAGATTTTTCAAAAGACCTGAAAACACAAAACCTTTACTGTAGCATTCTTCTTTTACTGAACAGACAACAAAGTGGAATTTATCCAAGTATGTCAAATACTTGTCTGTTTTTGTAAGTTCATGAACATGCTTTACCTTTAATAACACAACTAGAAAGCATTTTATAAACACGTAAACAGCTGCTACCATGTTCTCACACATCGAGTTACAGTTTTCTTAACTTGTAGCATGTTACACACACACACACAGTTATTAGCGGATTCTAATATATTCAAAAATTATAAGAATCTTTAGCATGCTACACATACAGGTTGTTACTAATCCTCATGTCTCTACAACTTCATACACTGGTTGTTACTAATCCTCAAATATCTCTTAAGTTACAGACTTCTTAATGATTCCGTGCCAATAACGTTTTTCTCTGTTTACGGTTCATACCTCTGTAAGCAGCTTGGCAAGTTTCTTTATAGTTCTGTAGCATGCTACATATCAGGTTTAAGAAGTAATCAGCATACATTGGGAGGGCAAACATCAAGTTCTGTAGTTCTTGAACACTACTGTTCAAACTGACCGTGCTCTGTTGAAACAAAAGTTAGCATTTCAAAATAAATGTTTCATCAAAAAACATATATATGTATGTATGTATATAT